ATATTGTGATTCTTTTATCCCCCCTCCTACTCTGTTTTATGTTTCAGTGATTTAGAAGTTTACTAAAACATGCTGAGGAATGATGAATGCAAAAGATCATTTGGGGTAACTGGATCCCCTATTTCATGTACTGCATCTGGACTCCCACATAGCCTATGTACTTAAGTGGGACAGCAAATATTTCACTACTTAAGCAAATAATTCTTTCACATAGTGCCCCATTCCTCCTGGGAATCCCCGTGTTAACAACTTTTAAAACCAGATTGCTAATATCTCAAATATACTAAACTTAAAAAAAAAACATTTTTAAGGATGTTGAGAGGTGGTGAAGAGAGATGACAGGGAAGAGAATGTCACCAAGCCAAACGTGGTTGGAAGACTTGGGACACAAAAACAAACATGAAAGCTTCGTGAATTACCTCAAATCATTCACATACCACTTTGAATAACTACTCTGCATATTCAGCACAGTTACTCTTCCTTACTAAGAGCTTCAACCTAGGAAAGTTGGTTTTGGCAGCCAGGTAAGACAGATACGGTAACTCTACAGTGAAGTTTGCCTGTGACCAGTTAGAGCTACAGCGGCAAGTGCAAAAGCTTTCAAATTTGACAAGGAAAGACATTCTGAGCCTGTACAGCATTGCCCTTCATTTAAAACTGTATATGTTCTCATCATATGTGGCTCTGTCTTGAAAGAAGCATTGAAAGATGTGGAGTACCCCTCAGGTCTCAGCTGCACGTGCAGAGAGAGAGCAGAGCTCCAGAGATGACACATACCAAGCACTTGGCACGGATGAGGGTATAGTTAAGGCCCTCCTTCAGATTTCACCACGTAAGCCTTCCCTTGGGCCCCCAGCCTGTGGGACACTGTCCCATTACCAAGTTATCTGCTCTTTCCTTCATCCTGAGTACAGGAAAATTACTTCCATATGTAAAACCCAAATCAATAAATTAGGAAAGAAGACAGGAAAAAGACTGGCTCATAAAGCTTACCTGACCTGATTCTTACCCTGGTATCAGCTTCTGCCAGCAAGAGAACAGATGAAGTTTACTGATCACTCAGATATAATCTCCTTAGTACTACTCAACATGCCAATACACGTATTGTTAAAATATCAATGTCATGCATCATCAAAATGCATCCATTAAACAGACAAAGAATCCAATAATCAGGAGATACCAACAGTTACTGAAAAATCATAACCATTGAGAGAAGTTGCCCCTGTATCAAAATCCATTCGGTATTTTTGTTGATGATCAAGCAGAATTCAAACCTGTACTGCTAAAGGTAGTGGGCTGGTAAATAATACAGCAGACATGACAGAGTAATCTGGGCTGGTCAGTGCACACAGCACTCCACAGTGCAAACAGAAGGTGCAATCATTCAACAGAATGCTAAGTCAGAAACCTTCCCTCACAATACGCAGGTCACATCAGGTATGAACAAGGATTTAGAAGCTGGAATACTTAACACTCATTTCTGGTGTCACACTACAACCAAGCAGAATTGCTCTTTTTGACCTCCAAAATGGAATTAAGAGAATTTACCCCTCCTGTGGCAATGCTGTTTTTTCTATGGTTTACAGATTCCTTAGGGCACCTGAGGCTGCAAATGAAGAAGGGGAAAGCTCTATGCCACTCCTAAGATACTTGTAAAAGTTATTTAAGAAAAGCAAGCTCTTAGGAATTGCTTAAATTTATTTTGCACTTATCTGTACCTTAAAAAATTTTAAAGGTAAAATGGTATTAAAAACTCCTACTATAGGGTATTAGCATGGTCAGTAGTGAGAATCCCATGTGGTTGGGGTGTCTGGATTATACAAAGCAATACAGAAACTGGAAGCAGTACAGAGCCACAGAAACTACTCAAGGAGAGAAAGTACCCCACGGTGAGAATATTAAAGGGCTCAGTTGACTTCTTTTCTGAAAAATAATGTGCAAGGTAAGGCAACTACAGCACGCAAATCCCCTCAAAGGGAGGGACTATCAGTTACTAGAAGCCTCTTTAATCTAGCACAGAACCACCTAACAAACCAGTTGCTGGAACCTAAAGGCAAACTGAAAGCAACGCACCTCTCACTCCCACACACTCCCTTCTAGTTTGTGTTAATTAAAAAGTCTCTGAAGTAGTGCACCTACCAATCTTCAGATCAAGTCTGGTTGCTTTTTCTCACTGTTATGCCCTAGTAAAATATGTATTACTAGCACACACAATTATGAAGACTCTGAGACACAAATGCCTAGAATATACAGGAAGTCAAACTAGACAGATTTGTCTTTAAACTATGACTATGAAAATCTAGTCTTCAGTAGAGGAGTAACTTCACAATACATTTGAGAGACCCAGAGGAGAATGGGAGAGAAACACGGGGATTTAAATGTTTCAGCTGCCCTCAGTATTAATGACAAATGAGTTCTTAAAAAAAAAAAGAAAGAAATGAACAGTTAGGTTGTTTTTTATGTTTATCTTAAAGATTTCAACTTACCTTTTTTCTAAATCCCAGAGATTTAAGTTGTTACAAAAGCTAAAACTCTCTCTGATCACTTGTACTTACAAGCTGTTCTCACTAGATTTTTTTTTTAATCCACTTCTTCCACAATGATAGAAAATGTATGTACAGCATTTTGTGCAAAGATTAAACTCAAGGCTACAGAAACCACATGGTGGAAAAGACTGGAAAAAACAGAAAGTTTAGATGAGACATTTAAGGTGCTGAGAGAAAGTAATACGAGACACAGTTTGCAGGAGAGTTTGGGGCTGAGGTATTTTCCCCTTGGATTTTGTCAATAAATGGGACAAGAAGGGCTGGGGATTGGAAAAGGGATTGTTTCGTACTCCTTAGGCAGTGGTTTGAAGGAGGCAGACACAGAAAGGTGTTCCTGACTGCTAGACTGGATGGTTTAAATTCTGAGTAAAAACTACTACTCAAATTTCTGGAAAAGCTACTGACTGAATGCTGTGGTACTAAAACTCTTCTGTAATTGTGAAAAGAAATCCAAAGGAATACAATGCACCAGAAGAGCCTTTCTTGGAAGTCACATGATTATCTGGGCACTGGATGTAACCCTCTGCCTATAATAAACGGCTGCAACACAGATGGCAATCATGTCTGAACAGTATAAAAGTCCCAAAGCAGAAAAGTTAAAAAACCAAACAAACGAACAAAAACCCCCAAAGGCTTTGCTTTCTCTTACTTCAATGAGAAATGAGTGAAACTATCAATTCCCTTCTGCAAATCCTCATCCTCCTAGCCTGTTCCACATACTCCTTCTCATCATAAAAATTTAGCTCAGGTAAGGGCTAACAAGAAGTTTGTTCCATATGGGCCATTTCCTTACTGTCTGTATCTTTATTCTGAAGGCTGTGATAAAACACCATCGACTGCTAATCATCCTTCTTAATACACACATGTGCTCCACATGGACATCACAGCCAAATATTCAGAGAAGATCACAGACAAACAAGCTGGTTCATGCTGTACCTGCAATGATCTCTCTGATCAGCAGCCCTGCTGCTATCAGGCATAATTAGTTTGCAGGCCGAGGCAAGTCACTACATGCATCAGCCCAGGCCATTCAACACCAATATACATTCAACAAATCTCAAGTCTGTTCCTAAAGTCCCCTAAGAACACGGAGCAAAATTCCTCCCATTTCCTCTTCCCATTACACTGGAGCAGTTTATAGGCCACAGCAGTATTTCATGAGGTCTAAGTGCTCTGAGACTCCATGATGATTTAGGAATGCCATCTATAACAGCATAGCACTTTTATCTCCGACAGACAGCAGGACAAGCCCTGAGCAAACACCACAATTTCAAACACATCAGCAATATCCTTCTAGAATAATAAAGAACAAAGATAAGTAAAGCACCAAGACACCAGTTTTTCTTTGTTTGAATACATATATTGCATAGGTGACTTTTTTTTTTGGCATCATACAGACCAGACCATGCATTCTGCTTTTCTTTTACAAAAAAACCAAAACATTGATTTCTTGGAGACAAGAGAAACAGGTCTTACCCCACAGAGCTCATATCAGCTGGGGCATTTAAAACTATTCAAATCACAGTAAGGAGAATGAGACCCTGCAGGTAAATTCAGCAATGTGCTTTCCAGAGCAATGGTCTTTCCCTCTGGTTTTACTTGCTAAGGTTTACCCTGACTTAAAGCTGCCAGTCTATCTCCTGAACATCATACAACATAAGCAAGCAATAGCCAGGATGATCCCAGCCTGCTCTCAGCTTCTCCCTTTCAATCATCATGAGATGTTCTAAGGGAACATCATGTTCTAATCTGAAGTATTCCCCATGAAAAAAATAATCTCCAAACCAGACCTTTAACCTGAGAGATGCAGACTTAATCCAGTTGATGAATGGAGGGACTTCATTACTATTTAAAGGCTCTTCTGCAGCTTCAGCATGCTCAGATCTCTTGCCTCCACTTATCCTTGTGAATCAGTTGTCTCTCTCTCTCTCCAGTATGCTACCATTTTGTGGAAAGCTTTCTCTTACAACCCTGACTCAAGAATGAGCAGACATTTTGACAAACAAAACCTTTTTCTAGTGGCAGGCTATTTCTATCTTTCCACAACTGGCAAAATACCTCACCAATACTGCATATCACTGTTAAATCAGCAGTTACGCCGATGATTTTACCTGCAAAACCATATACAAGATTTTACACATTTTTCTTAAGGCACTTATTTAGCAACAACCAACAAAAATTCAATGGAAAAAATAATATACCCTCTGTATTGCTTTTTTTTATTAAAGCTTCAGACAGGGATCATTAGTTTCAAGGAAAAATTCTGTGGAAACAAGGACAAAGCCTCTAGTAAGTATTTTTGATTTAAAACCACCCCAACTCCCTCACCCTTTAACCAATAGTTACATCTTAAAATGTGGAATAGATGAGTGTGTTTGAAAGTTCGTGGTGCAAAATAGAGGAGGGTGGCAAAACCTCCTCAGATTTGTCCAAAAAACAGCTATCCCACTCTTCACATAAATACAGTCTTCTCCCTTCCCCTTTTTCTCTCTGTTTCCATCAACCCTGCAACAAAATCAATATATAAGAACATCAGCAGCTTTGATGATAGGCAATGATCCTTTTTGACATCAGTCTGTGATACAATCGTTGATTCTCTACGTTTAAATTACATCATAGCTGTGTAAAATACGCAGTGATATCCCAAACGTGAACTCTTCACATCCGCTGTCGATACCTCAGCAAGATCCAGACTGCTGTTGCGGCAAGCGCCAAGCCTGGCACAAGAATGACTGCTAGAGGAAGCCCACCTGATTCTCCATCGCTTTGATGACCCACAGGGCCATTTTGTGGCTGCAACTACAAGGAAAAAAAAAAAGTTATTTGTGTCAGAACCCATCACAGAAGAGCCTCCAGTTTGGTGTCTGGACCAGGTGTTTCCATAAGGATGTTCAAGATAGTTTCCCCACTATCTGTGAAGTCCACACACAGGAAGGTTAAAACAGCTTTGGATGGACTGAGCTTAACTGCAGAGTACCCAGTCACTACCAGGCATATTCGTGTTTCTCTGCCACTTTGTAAACTAGGACTCTAACAAACTGAAGCAGGATACAGCAGAAGCAATAACACACACATACCCAGTCATCCACTGATACACTTCCCACCACACCACTTCCTGCCCATTACGAGGAAAAGGACATCACTAGTTATCCCTGTTTTTCTTACCTACTCTGTACACTGGTCCAGAAGACTTACTCCTTTGCTAAGAAAGTAGAAAAGGGATCTCAACCCACCTCTCCCCACCAACGTGCTTGAGGTTGATCAGCATTTCCTTTGTCAATTTCAATGATACCTTGGAATTAAGGATTCAATGCTAACAGAGGATTAACGATTCCTCTCTGTTTATATCTCAAATAGTGCCAGTACATTCAAACTATAGCAGTCAACATTTTGTATTACTGTAAAATCCTTTAAGTTGGAAAAGACCTCTAAGATCATCACATCCAACCATTAACCCAGCACTGCCAAGTCCACCATTAAATTAAGCCCCACATCTACACATTTTTTAAATGCCTCCAGGGATGGTGATTCAACCGCTTCCCTCAACAGCCTGCTCCAACGTTTGACAATCCTTTCAGTGAAGAAATTCTTCCTAATAGCCAACCTAAATTTTCCCTTGTGTAACTTAAAGACATCTCTTGTCCTATTGCTTCTTACTCAGAAGAAGGGACAGACACCCACCTCTCTACACCCTCCTTTCAGGTAGTTGTAGAGAGCGGTAAGGTCTCCCCTGAGTCTCCTCTTCTCCAGGCTAAACAACCCCAGTTCTCTCAGCTGCTCCTCACAAAACTTGTACTCCAGACTCCTCATCAGCTCACTGTCCTTCTCTGGACACACTCCAGCGGCTCAGTGTCTTTCTTGTAGGGGTGGCCACACACACATCTGTACACTAACATGAGTGATGACCTCTGAAAACAACAGAGGAATTCTGTGTCCAGTAAGATTTTGGCCACTGAAACAAAACTGGAGAACTTGAGATTCTGTCTTCGCAGACAAACCTTTACCTCTGAAAAATGAGATCTGTGAGCAAAAACACTATACTCCACTAAAACAAAAACCTCGAGACTTCTCCAAACTCATCTCTTCACTGATACTGTTACAAAGCAATACACAGACAATTACAGCCATGGCAACTAGAGAAGGCCATGTGTTAAACAAGATTTTTATATGCACGTGTCACACTGAGCACCTGGACACAGTACTCTTCTTCCTTATGAAACAGACAGCTACCAATCATAAAAACCAGCCTAAGCTGAGCCAGAAATAACCCTAAGAAACAGGTAAAACATACCCTGCGTTGAATTTTCAGAGACACATCATAGCCTGTGTTCCTGAACAGTTCCACAGCATCCTGGTGCCGCAAATCCTTCAAGTCTTTGCCATTGACCTAGCAAAAAAGGAAAAGGAGAACCAGATGCTGAAGAAAAAAAAAAAGGAAATTTTTTATGACGCAGGCTAACATAGGAAGGAGATAAAAATCTTCATCTTTCACAAAATTCTGCATTTGGGGCATGATACTATAATCAGCAATATCCATATTCATCCCCTCATATTATAGATGAATTTTTATATGTTGAGGCAGAACATGAGAAACTCCAAGCCAAAACACTGAGGGTACTTAAAAAAACTCCCTAGAAGCAAAATCAGAATATAAGACCACAATATTGTGTCAATAGCAACTTCTGATGCTGTTGCTTTACTGGAAACAAATCAAAGGCGTGATTCTGACAGCTAATGAAAACAAAAGAGCCGCTACAGCAAAATTATTATTATGAGTCTCTTTCCCCCATTGTTCCCTCTATAGGTGCATCTTTTAAATCCCGCTATTTGAGAAAATGTTGTAAACACACATTTAAAAGCACACTGATGTAACAAAACAAAACAAAAACACTTATATACCTATTGGCATCCCATTGAAAGTGGTAGGATTTTTCTTAAATTAAAATAATACATCATAGCAGAAGCCTTTATAGCCTACTTGATTTCATTCACTAAGTGATTATTCTCATCCTAATTTTTTATTTTCATCCCCATTACCCATAACTGTATCCCCTAAGATCACATCCAGCACCTCCCTTCTCTTCATATTTAGATACCCCAAACACAAGTACATAAATATTAAACTGTCAAGAAATGATAGGATAATATTCTCTGTTTATGTAGGATTGTTTTATGGATCAATAATAGGTTCCAAGTAGTGCAAGGCAGTCTATAGAGGCTAAAAATATTGCATGTGGAACATAATAATCAAGTGTAAAATAAAATTAGGGAGTATTAAAAGACTGTGTATCACACTAGAAGACGCTACTTCTTCACCCATCACTTTGTAAAGCATATTGTCTTGTATGATTGCCAGCTGACTGAAGAACCAGTGGGACCGAACATCAGTCATCTTAAAACATTTTTCTATAAGGAGAAGCAGCCTGTATTATTCCTCAGGAGCTGAAATGAAGATAAGAATTTTTTGGCCTAGAGGTTTTATAGTTAAAAAATCCCCGAGCAAAAGGATCAGTAGTAATGGATTACCAGTGAAAAAATGAAAAACCTTTATTTACATGTGTATTAATGGAAATCCATTGTGAACAAGAGAAGTTCTGATGGATTCTATAACCCTAGGAAGGCAAGTCACAGAGGAAACACAAATGCAGCACCATGGAGTGCTTCTGAGACAAATCAAGAAGGCAAAAGAGATGAGCACATGTGTAGAGGCAGCACTCAAAGCTCTCCCCAGACCCCCAAGATAGCTCCTCCATGGAGACTGCCCAGCATCACCTAATTGCATTGACCACATCATTCCTCTCTGTGCACTGCGATGGCAAACCTGCCTCTCATATCACATCACTGACAACAGCACTTCAAGAACACACGGGGTGACAGAGGACAGGGCTTACCGCTAAAATTTTATCTCCTTCTTGTAATCGGCCATCAAGGTAAGCTGCCCCATCCTTTTTGATCCGGCTGACATAGAAGCTGCTGTCATTGCAAATGTATGGCTGATCTGTCCCACCAACAATGTTGAAGCCCAGCCCTAAGGTAAGCCAAAGAGAAAACCGATGAGAAAAAGCTCAAAGTTTCAGACATTCTTGCTGTCTTGCTTGTTGGTAATGCACCCTCCCATTTTGCTCTGCTTTCTCCACCACCCTAAAACTCACAGCACACAAATCTACATCATCCTTTTAAACTCTCACCGTCTAGAAATGTTATTCTCATGAAACTGGTCTTGAAAGCAGAGGAGAGACACTAAATGCCTGAGGAACCAGATGCTTCATTCCACAAAACATGGTGAGCTGTATTTAGGGTGTTGGGGAATACTGAGACATGCTATGATTTCTGAGATGCCGCTTCAGCCCTCAGAGGGAACACACTTCTTCAGCACAGCATGAGAGAAAATAAATCATTTTGCCTTTTGCATGGGGCTATAATAAATCATTACTTTTGAGAAACAAGAAATCATGCCCAACAAGCATTCTGTGAGATGGGAAACAGAGTAAGGAAAGGCAAGAAACATCAGACCCTGTCTAGAGATGATGAGGAAACAGGCAAGCAGAACTCTGCTATGGCTCAGAAGACTACCCTTCCACATCCCAGGAGCTGGAATTGGTGTGCTTTGCCTCCAAGAATAAGACTAGCCTACATGAACCTACTTCAAATTGTATGTAACCATTTTGTTCTGTTTCATGAATTCAAAATGTGACAGGAAATAAAGACAAAGTTCACAGATTTAAAGCAAAACAAAAAAGAACATGTATACATTAAACAGAACTGATGTCCACTTTATATTTTTGCCACTTTTATTGCTTTAAAGTAAACCTCAGTTACAGATATCTAGCTGGATTCAGCTTCTAAATTAAAGTTAAAATTTCTTGCTTCATTGAAACCCAGAAGAACAAACTGAATTCAGAACCCAGAAAACTACAGGTTACAAGAGCACATTCCCCACTGCACATGCAGCTAAGTTGGTCTATACATAAGGATACATGACAAGGGACAGGAAAAATTGCCTAAGAGGCTTGCAAAGAAAAATGGGAAAGAAAAGCTAAGGAAAAAGAAAAAAATCAAATACACAATCAAAGCAAATGAAAAGAAAAAACCAATTTTTTTTTTTTTTTCCTGACACAGACCAGTCATCCAAAAGTTAAGTCAAGAACAGCTGAAGGTAAATTCTGCCCATGTTCAGCCAGGCTGATTTGTTTTCACTTTCTTTCTTATCTTCACTCAAAGTTGTGGCTAAAAACCTTGAGAAGGGGAGTTGCAAATGAAAGTAAAACCACCTTATGCCTGCTGGGAAGCAGCATTTTAAATCAGTCATAGGAGATCAAAGGATTTACAAAATGAGTCATGCTATTTCAAGTGGGCCTCTACAGCTGGGAAGTAAAGAAATATTAACTGCAATCTTGCCACATTTTGTTGGGTTTTTTTTAAACTTCCCTTCCTGGTAGCTTCAGACAAGTGAGGAAGAAAATGAAAGTGAGAGCAAATTGAATAAATACTAGACTAATACCTGTTCCAGGAAAGGGCAATCATGAACAATAATACACCCTTCAATGGAAATTAAAAAGAAAAAAAATTTAAAATCCACAAACCTGAAAATTATTTGCCACAAAGCCAATACCCTGGGAACAGGGGAAATCAATACTACAGAAAGTATAAGGTTTAATCAGCACTTACTAAAAAGCCAGAAAGAAGGAGTCAGAGTTACTCTGACATTGATTCTCTTTCACATACATAAAACCCTTCAAATATAGATAGATATATATATATGAAAAAAGTATATATTTTGCAACTTTTCATCCACAGTTGGAAAAATAATCATAAGTCACAGCAGAGGCAAATCTTTGTAACAAAGACACAGCAATTCACGCTAGGTCAAGTTCAGTATTCACAAGACTTTTTCACTGTGTCTTTCCAGCACTTAAACTTCCACTCTGGCTAAAAATATCTTCCCCATAATTCCTTGAGCTCTCTACTATTCTACCCATTACAGTTCATGCAGCCATAAAAAGAGACACAGCACAGCCAGAAGAAAAGGAGCAAGGGGAAGAAGGGAGCACATGGCACTAAGTCTCTAGTTTAAAAGGGACCAGAAGCAGAATGGCAAAGCTTTAAAAGCAGGCTCTGGGCTAAACTTCTCATCCTCTCTGAGGCTGCAGACTCACTATGCCTCATTTACCCTCCCTGAAACTAAAAAAGTCCCTCAAAAAGACATTAAAAAAAATATGAATGCCATGATTAGGAAAAGAGAAACTAAATACAAGGAAAGTTGAAAAAGAGACATATACACATCGTTTTGCCACTGGAAATACATTCAACACCTCAGCAAACTTTTGCCAGAGATGTTTAGCATCAGACCTATTTTAACAAGTTGCAGTCAAAACTCTAATTTGGGAGACTACGGTATTACATTGTGCTTCACAGATAACAGTGTTTTGTTCCATACACAGAAATGAATAATAATTCATATGGTAAGTACATCAAGGCCATAAGGGGCTGCAGAACCTTCAAATCAAGTACACAGTCAAATACCTAACTAAAAATGCACAGCCCATCATTACAACCAGACTTAAATCACAGTGGTCACATTCAAGACCATTCTCAACTCTGCACTTAAACATTCCCTTCCACCTCCCTCAAAATTTTAGATTTCCAAATGTATGGAAACAGCTTTCCCATCAGAATCGGCTTTGTTTAGCAAACAGTTTTCACTGCCAAGCATGGCTTCGTTAGCTTGAGCTCATGGTTGTACAGGCAGGGCTAGCAGCTCTCAGACCAGCAGAGGAGCAGAGGAGGCAGAGGACTGCACCCCGGGCCCGTCCTCTGGGTTCTGATTGCCAGAACAGAGGCCAGGACCCACCAGGAACTACCTTCACCCCAGAGAACGGCACACAGGCCGACGCTGTGGGTGCTGCAGTTCCTGGGGGACCCAGCAGCTGCACCCAGCAGTTGTGCAGGCAGACAGCAGGGCTGCCACGTTTTCTTTCGCTCCCGTTTCAATTAAAGACAAGGCCTCACACACAAAACTACAGCTGTAGCTCTGAAGCCTCCCTGGAGCCACGATTTTGCTCCAGAGGTTCTTTAGAGCCATGTTCTTTAGAGCCAGGATTTTGCTCCAGAGCTGTACATTTGGTACCAACTTGCCTCACTTCTGAAAGTGTGATTTGAATGACATCATAAATCCTGAACAGCAAAGCCAAAACAATGCCCCAAGGACTGCCCTGTTCCCTCTCCCCTCCCGCCTGCGCTCCTCTCTCTCACCACCCAGAAGCCCTTCACGCTACCCCGTACAATGACCGCCAAGCCGACACTACAGGGCATGGTCACTGGGACACACGGTTTTCAAATGGCCCCTGACTGGTATCCAACGCGGCTGGGCGCTCAACGCCTGCCACCTCACTTAGAAGCAACAGGAGCTCCACCGGAGATGGCAGCTTCCTCGGAAAAACAGAGGCGAGTTGTTCACCGGGACACCGGCCGGGGCTCCCGCAGAGGACCGAGCCTGACTCAGCCAGCTCTCCCTCACCGCATGGCTGCCCACCCTCCCTCCCGTCCTCGCCGGCACCCCGCCGCCGGGCCCTCCCGCCGCCCCGGTGCCCACCAGGGCAGCCCCGCCAGCCCCCGCCACCACCGCGCGCCCCCGCTCCGGCCTCCCCGGGGACTCCGCAGGCCTCGGCGCGGCTGCCCCGGCCCGGGAGGCGCCCGGGCCCAGAGCGGGGCGGCCCCCCGCGCCTTACCTGAAGGTCTGCGGGTGAAGCTGATGATCTCCTCGGCGTAGCCGCCGCCCGCCACGCTGCCGTTCATGCTGCGGCCTGAAGACCTCGACTCCCGGGGAAGCCGCTCCCGTCTCCTCGGCCGCCGCCGCCGCCGGGCCGCGCCGCGGAGCGCTGGGAGTTGTAGTCCCGCCGGGGAGCGGTGCCAGCCCGCCCTGCGACGGACGGCCCGGGCCGCCCGCCACGGGCGCTCACCGCAGAAGAAGGAGAGGAGCGGGCCCGGGGGAACCCAGCACAGCGTTCTCCTGCCCCCCCAACCTTCCCCGGATCCTGCGCGGCATCTGTGCCTGACCGTGCTTTGCTCCCCAGGCTGGAGCTGGCTTCCTCAGGAAGGTTAAGGTGTGATTGTTGTCTAGGAGAAGCGTAGCAGAGAGAGATGTTTGACCTGTTCCCAGCCCTTTTAACTGGCCTCACAGCAAACTAAAAAGCAGATCAGACAGTGGTGGGCAGGAGCAAAAGCCCAATGCAGACAAGTCGCAGAGAGAGCATCCATACCATTGCCTACATATCCTGTGATGCAATAAAGTGATGCTCTAGATTAAGAAACACAAATAGTACATGCTGACTGCCACTGCTGGGGCAATAAATACCTAACTATGCCCTATACAAGGCGTTTGGTTTGAGGATATGAGAGATTTCCTCAAAACTCTACAGATAGTTACCTAGCAATAAAGGGCAAAGTAGTTCAACTTGCTGTCTAACAGAGAAGCCACTTGAACTTGGCACTCTGTATGACAGGATTTTCTTGAACCAACAGATTATTTGGAAATCAACAGAAAGGCAAAATTTATCATTACTTATTTCCTTATTAAACTGTATCCTTATCTATTTCAGCACATGCTACAAGTATGTCAATACAGACATGGCAACAGGGAACAATGAACAGGCCTGATCCAATTAAACTAACTGCCTGATTGCTTGGCACTACAAGGACAGCCACATCTACATGTTGCAGGAACCTCTCTGATGAAAATGAGGATCAGCTGCTCTGGTCTTCAGTGTTACACTATCAATCATTTTGTTTGGTATTACAGTATAGATAACAAATATTTTTGACTGCATTCATTCCCAGATGATCTGCACTTTTGGATTCCTGAATTTAATAGGGAGAGGCAATCTGGGTGATGGATTTCAGAATTAGAGGAAGAGTGTGCTACATGCCTTAATGCTACAACATTAATGCTTAGCACTAAACCGGGTGTTAGAACCCCTGCCTCAGAGGTGGGAGACAGGTATTCAAGGTCCAGTTACACCTGCAGTGATGAGCAAAACCATGATTTGTCTATCCCAGGAAGAATTCTTAAAACGGTTGAGCACAGCATTCAGTTTCACACCTGCTTCAGTCTTATTCGCAGAGTTATATTGTCCTGGATATCTATACTTCTTGTGGCCATTAAATAGGAGCACTGCATAATAAAAGTTGCACAACTGCCATCCATTATTTTTCCCTCAGGTTTTGGCTGGGACCGAGTTCATTTTCTCCTTGGTAGCTGGTACTGTGCTCTGTTGTTTGGATTTAATATGAGAATAACGTTGATAACACAATGATGTTTTTGTTGTTGCTAAGTAGTGTTAACCTTAAGTGGAGGAGTTGAGGACTTTTCAGTGTCTCACGCTCTGCCAGTGAGATGGTGCACAAAAGCCTGTGAGGGAGCATAGCCAGAACAGGTAACCTAAACTGGACAAAGGGATATTCCACACCATAGAACAGTCTAGTTCTACACATATACATGTTCAGTATATAAAGTGGGGGAGTTACCCGGAAGGGGGGCAAATCACATTCTGTGATGGAACGGGTATCAGCCAGTGGGTGGTGAGCAATTTTACTCTGCATCACTTGTTTCTCTTGGGTTCTGCTACTCTCACTTTTTTTTTGGTTGGTTGGTTTGTTTTGTTTCAATTATTAAACTGGTTTTATCTCAACCCATGAGGTTTAACTTTTCTTTTCCAAATCTCCTTCCCACTGGGGTGGGGTGGGAGAAGAGGGAGTGAGCAACTGTGAGGTAATTGGCAAACTCCTTGAAGATACATACTGTTCCTTAGGAGCAGTTTAATGTATTTTAGAGATGACAATCTTGGTTTAGAACAAACCCAATTTTATCTTGATCTGATAACTATGATATTAACTGTTGTTATAAGTCTGCTCTAGCTAGGAAGCGATTTCAAACAAGAAACATGAATATATTTTGTATATTATATATACGTTGTATATTTTTGTTGTAACTTACTCTTAGGTAGCTCCAGTCTTCACCTATCACTAATTGGCCTGCCACGTGTTAAAAGCTACCTAAGACTTAATACTGGCACTGTACTGGCACAGGCCATTTCACAGAATCACAGAACGCTCTGGGTTGGAAGGGATCTTAAAGAGCAGCGTTCCAACGCCACTGCCACAGGAAGGGACACCTTCCACTAGACCAGACTGTGTCTTCTTATTTCCTCCAGCACCATTTCAAGTACTCCACTGATCCTCATCTCTTGGGAGATGGTGCAGCAGCATTTGCAGGCTGCCTCTTCCATGTTCAAGTGACTTATACATTAACCAAGTTCTAGCATCCATTTAAAGCATTTTAAAAGGTAATTAAAACTGTGAGCGGAAAAAAGGGGGAAACCAGAAAGATTAGGACTAATCTTAGAATTGAACCTTCCTAGCACCTTCAGAGCAGCATCTTCAGAGTAGTGGGACATTTCTAAAAAACTACCACAAGAATCATGTAGCTATGGTAAAACCAGAAACAACAATATTTTCAAAGAGAAAACCTTAGCAAGGCAGCTCACACTTTTTATAAAACACCGACTGGGTTTGTTGGGATACGTGTTTGTCTTGCTTATATGGCCTAAGCAAAAATAGGAGAAAACTGTACAGAAATACTCCTATCCAAAGCTCCCTGAAAGCTACCTCCCAGTTAAGTCATGGTTTTCTTAGATCAATCTTTAGGCACAGAGAAAAATAGAAACTACAGCATTTTATTGCTTTGTCCTTTCCAAAACTACATTTGCAAATAAGCGTTCTATCCTAAATTGTGCTTTCTTTTACACCTCTTTCTCTTCAGCGTGGAGGTCTGTAAATAAAAACTCCCCTACTCTCTAACTTTTCTCTGGTCTCAGCACAGATCTATACTTGGCAATTTATGGTACAGTATCAATCAGCAATAGGCAGCCATCAAGATGGCAGTCTGAAATTTCTGCCACTCTTTATCTATTTAAAAAGCAAAATTAAAAAAAGTCTGCCAGTACTTACCAGTTGTGCGTAGCTAGTTGGAAGGTGATGGGTGTAGTGCTTGTGTTACTTTTTATCTCTGTCTTTTGACTATTCCACATCCCCCTTGTTTGTGAAGTATCCCTTGTTAGCAACACCTGCATTACGATTGTTATTTCTCAGAGAACACTCCCCCCACGTTCCCCAGAAAAAAGGTCTCTGGTTATAAACACAGGATTAAGTTTTCTTCACCTAATCAAAACTATCCATGTTTTATCAAGACAATTAGCATAGCCTGCTGAACAAACAATGTGTTACCTCATTTCCCCAGACAAATATAGATAATTATGTAAAGATCCATTTGCTCTAGACAAAAAGCCATGAAAAAATGTGAATCACATCCTTTGTATTTCACATCCAATCATAATCTAACCAGCCCTTTTTGGATACAGGGGATGATTATGGAGAAAAAAAAAGTATTACAGGAAAACGTGTATTCTAAAAACATAAATTTCATACTTGGAAGGCAGCTAGAGTTGACCATCATCATTTGTAGAGTCATCAACATATTTCTTCCCAAATGTTGCAAGCATTGGGCTACTAATCCTGCCTTTAGAGAATGTTTGCTAAAAATGTCCTCTTTGCTTTCTAAATACAAATATTCTTTTGTTAGCAGACAAGTGCATTATAGCCCTTAATCCAGAAACACCAGACTTTTAGAAAAAAGTTTTCACTGTTAATCTGGACTACAGAATCCTCTTCCTGCTGATCTGATAGAAAAATCTAGTCACTGCTATAATATAAATAATAAAATTTAAAGTTACTGAATGGTATTTCCATGTCCCTCATATTTTTTCACAGGTTAAGACACATTTTATCTTGTGCTAAAAAAGAAAAAGAAAACCACAGTGTTTCCGTGTGGCACTCTGCAGAGCTGCAGGGACCCATTCAGTTATAGCATTAAGAAACACATCATAAACCAAGAGAAACTTCCCGAGAAAATCAGATAAAACATCAATCAAATATTGCAGGAATTCTGCATGGGTAAAACTTGCAGAATAGTTCCAACTACTTTAGAAATTCATTTAACTTGTACAACCCCACAGACAACTCCTCTTAGTGACAATAAAATACACAACACTTCTCAGAAGAAGCCATCACTCAAGGCACTGGAAAATTTCCAGAAAATAAAGACAATTTGTTCTTGTGAAATGTCAGATTTGGTGCCACTGCACTGCTGATGTGTATCTCTGATGGTTCAAAAATGTAATGCTTACTGGTGTGATCTGGATAACCCTTCTCTACTCTCTCAAAAAATGAAGAACCCGTTTGCTATGATCTACCTCCCTCCTGAAGGGCTGCTCCCTGTAAACAGTTGGAAACACTTATGAAACAGACACCTGCATCTCACTGCAATACCTGTATCTTGCCTGTTTGCGTGTCACAGATGCGAATTAAATCAGAATCATAGAATGGTTTGTGTTGGAAGGAAAACAGTGGAGGCTGAAAGAGCAATTTTTTTCTCTTTGGTTCTTAACAGATGACAGAAGCAAAATGATCACAAACACTCTCTCCCTGAATCGAAGAAAACATTAGATGACGGAGTAAATGGAAGCAAATCATTTATCTACAGATAATTTATGTTATCTACTTAAGAAGTTTGCATTTTTAAACTGTTGATATGAAACATAAACACTATACTTACAGCTTAGCTAACTACGCCAATTTAAGAGCTCAGCGTAAAAAGAACAGCAGGCCTTACTGCCTGCATTTATTAATTTAAAATAAACAAAGATAACTTTTACTCTGCATTTAATGACATCACATGAGATGAGAGCTATTCAGAATGTGTTGAATTACTTTGATGATATTATCAGATGGCTTTGCTAAAGTGAGATTTCCCAGGAGCATCCAAAGCTACTGCCTGTTGGTCTTCAGTGGATTTTGACTCACCACTAGGCAAGTCTTCTTTAGGTACTTCTTTTTTTTTCAGTCTTTGAAATAACTGCAGTATTCTGTGGAATTGGGCCTCTATCCTCCTAAGCCATCCCACTACTTCCTGTCTATAATGCATGGTAAGCTTTACTCCAAGGAAACAGAGACAAAAAAAAGTAAGTAGTATTAGTCTTACTTTTGCTCTGTGAGAAGTCTTCGTGGCTGGAGGGGGTCCACTGTCAATGCTACCTCCAAATCCTTCGAATTCACAGTATGGAGGAGCCCAGCCATACTCGCAGTGACAGTTCTTACGATTGTTACACACTCCTCTGTCATGACACTTTGTCACGTTACAGTCATAGTTCAGCAATGCTACATTAATACATGTCCTGTTGATACAAAGCATTTCACTACCACACGGTGTGCCATCTTCCACAGCTCCCACGTCAGCTCCTGGCATCCCTACGTGATAGTCAAGACCCCAACAATTTTTATCTCCAACAGGAGTTTGGAGTAGCGTTACATGGTTCTGCAAGTGAGGTAATTTGACTATGTTTTCACACTGAATCCTACCACATAAGACATTCTCAGTAGTGCATTTTGTAAAATGGATATTGTTGCGAATACCACAATTCCCAAACCGGTCACCTTGAGTATTCACTGCTTTGAAGCAATCTAAAGAAGCAGCCCTGGCTTGTTTGCCAAAGAGATCCTGGCACTGTTTACTGTGGGAAGAACATTTTCCTTGATAGCAATAAGTATCATCTTTGCAAGGGGTTCCATCTTGTAGGTAGACATCCAGTGGACACTGAGGAGAAATCCCATTGCAATACTCTGGCAGGTCACAGGTGCCAGTACTTTCTCTGCACACTGTTCCTGCTGGAAGGACCTTACAGTTCTTGCAGCATTTTCCAGATGCACAGACTGAACCTACAGTAAGCGTACAGTTTGGGTGGCAACAAGGATCCTTTCTGCAGGCTGATTCTGAACCACAGTCACATTGCTCTCCGCTTTCTAGTATCTTATTCCCACAGTATTCACGCTTCGAGGTGTAGAAAGTGCCAGGTTCTGGTGGTTGACGAAGGCAGTCGGCGCCACGTACAAGCAGGTCAAAGTAGGATTTGTAACTGCAGTCACTGAACACATCAGTGTCAGCGTTGCTTTCGTACATAATGCATTTATCTCGTTTGCATTTACAGTCTGGTTTATCATGGATCATCCCAAGATTATGGCCCAGCTCATGGACAAATGTGATAAAAAAGGTGGACAACTTTTTCTCAGTGAAGGAAGCAACAGCTGATGACCAGTGGTTATCACATACTGTCCCTACAAATGCCAATCCCAAGGTGCTTCCAAACCTCTGAAATGCAAATAAATGAGCAACATCATGGCGCATCCGTGGTGACAGGTTTGACTTTCGCCAATTGTTAAAGTCACTAAGTACCTTGCCAAGAGATTTAGTAATATTTATTAAGTTCTTTTCGGTCCATATCTCCAATCCTATTAGAAACAGCCGGACAGAAAGCTGCTTGTACAGAATGTCCCCAATGTTGATGACTTCCATGACTTGCCTCAAGACTTCAGATTCATTCCTGCCTGACTTCACAAAGCGCACATTGTCCACAATCACTGCCATCTTGACATACCTGGTGTGTGTCCACCACTCCTTCAGTTCCTCGTTCTCCTCCTCTGCCTTTGGAGCCTTGAACCAGGGCAGCACAGCCTTTTGGTGCTGCAGCATCTCAGGGGTCAGTCCACAGGTGGGGCCCATGGGGTTGTTGGCCTCCATGCGGTAGATGATGTGCCGAAAGGCTGGATCATGGGGGATGGGCTCGATCTGGAAGGTATCATCCTCCACCCAGAGCACGCCGTGGAGGCCCCTGTCACAAGTGCTGAGGGCCACCAGGGAGCCAGGGCTCCCCAGCACCTCGCCCTGGTAGAAGCAGTTGTCCTGCACGAAGGGGTGCTCCTCCCGGCGGACCCCATCCTTGGCGTAGGTGACCAGTGTGAAGGGCCGGGAGATCAGGCCCCGCCGGGGCTGCAGGCGCAGCACCCGCGGCCGCCCCGCCACCTTCAGCCAGAAGGTGACGGCCGGGGCGTCGCTGCCGGCCCGCGGGCTCAGCTGCCGCGGCACCGTCACCCACGCGGCGAGGGGCTCGGCGGGCCGGGCCCCCCGCGCACCGGGGCACGCCGCCAGCCCCAGCAGCAGCACCAGGAGCCCCGGCAGTGCCCCCATCCCGGCCGCCCTGCACCGGCCGCCCCCCGCCCCGACGGGGGATGGAACCTCGGAGGGCCCAGCCCGGGCGGAACCGCCCCGAGGCTCCAACTGCCGCTGTGCCCGCACGGCCCGGCCCGGCCCGGCCCGGCCCGCGGGAGTGCCCGCCCCACGGGAAACGACACCTGCGGCCGGGGGCACATCGCTGCCTCCAGACCACCGACCCTGCCCTTTCAACACGGACAGAGGCTCTTGTGGGGAGGAGGGAGTAAATAAGCCTTCCACAAGCACGTTCCCATCTTTTTATAATCTTAATTTCAAATTAATGAGTGCTTCTCCTTCTGAGCAGACCACAGCAAGGCAGGCCCCCAGCTCAGTTTCGCAATTCTTGTCACAGGTGTTTGTGTTGAGCAAGGAGATCATTTTTGGGTAGGCCAGAAGTGGGAAAATCTGTTTTAAAATCTAAAAGGATGGCTTTTGCTTTTTTCACTCTTTTCTACTAAAGTGAGTGGACACATCAGAAACAGACTATTTTCAGCTCAAAAGAATATCTGAAAAAGTTTAGAGTCTGAAATGAAAAAAGCACAGAAATACTCCTTGTGGTACCGTTTCTTAGTGTATGCCTTACTATAGCTACTTACAGCTATACGCACCCCTCCAAGAAAAAAGAACAAGGGGTAATTCACTTCTGCTGCATTCAATAACATAGAGGCAAACTAATAGCACCAAATATAAAACCTCAAGCCTATTTCCACCACAGATGCAACATACCTTCAACATTATGCTTTGATTACAGACATAACTGATGCAGCAGCCATTTTCCCCCATCATGGCCTTTCTAAAGGCTTGTGCTTGCAACAGCACTGGAAAAAGAATGCTTACAGGTACATCTACCACTTGGCTGCCATTCCCATCTTGGGGTACAGCTACATCAAGACACAGCTACAGCACAGTGATCTGGATTGTGGTAAGACAGGATGTCCTGTGCAATACAGCTTTGCACACCGGTTTTCTGGCACATAGTGCTGGGATTCAACATAGCCACAGCTGTTATCTTTTGGGAATTCTTCACAACTTTCATTTCAGCACTGAAAGCACAGCTGGGATGAAGTCCAACCTGCTATGGTCATTATCTTCCTCGGCTGCAGGAGGTGCATCCTCCCACCAACCCACATCCATTTCAGGAATCCTGCTTTTTGGCACCAGTTTCTGTGTGCTGACCATCGCTCTGGGACAGGCAGCAACATTTAACATTTAAAACTCTTTGAGACAGGTACTATTCCTCAGGAGGCTGAGCAGTGAGAGAAGCAGCTGACAGAATGCTCAGAGACTCCTTCTGCTGCTTCATGCCCCAGGGTCCTGACAGGGGTTATATTCTAAGCTGGTCACGTGGCAGGCCTAACCAACAGCTGTGGAGGCTACCAACAGTTGTCCAAAGGAACTTCAGATTCTGTGAACTGGCACCTTGCTCACTCCTTGCCAGTGTGGCCAGCATTAGTAGCATATATTTTGTAATACAGTATCTCAGATTAAAGTAAAGAAAATAGGATGCCTGCTTCTATTAGGATCCATGTAGAAGGATCTTTCTAGATATACATCCAAATTCATGATGTGTGTTAGCCTTAGATTTATTTTCTTATTACTTTTAAAGTTATAGGAACTGGGGTTTTTTTGTGAGGTCTTTTATATGCAGCTAGTTGCTGAATAATGGTCCACTATTTTTCAGTTATTAGTTTTGCATTCCAGGGCTGTGAACTATGTCAGATTATGTCTTTTGAAATATATATAACTCAGACTACAATAACAGGAAAACCCTGTTATATTATCTGTATGCAATGTCTGTAGTGCTATTTTTAAATACATACTTCTGATATGGGATCACTCCTTAAGTTATAGAAGAGGCCCTACTAAATCACTCTGCCAATTTGCTAGAGACATCCCTTGCTGCCTGTACGACCCCCTGACCTGAAGTTGCCCATTACTTTCCTTCTCTTTCAATATATAGTTAGGACTAGAAAATACTCTGGTTCCACTGTTGAACTCATGGCAGATTATTGTTGTGGGGTAGTGTCAGTGTCACTTTGTGACACTGCATTCAGCAACTAAGCAAGTTCTTCATCATTGAGGTTACGTAATTTTTATACAGGGATCGATCACACTGTTATGTTCAGGTTACCAGACTCTTGCACTTCTGTATTGACCACGTAAAGTCAAAGGGCAGGGAGGGAAAGATTCCCGTTGCGTGACAATGAACAGGTTGGAAAGAAAAAATGATTGGTCTTCTGGTAGAGCAGGGAAAAAATATCATAGCAATCTTTGCTACTTCAACTGCAGAAACATTTGTTTGGCAGGCGTAATTGGCTTTCTCATAAGTGTTTTTCAAATACTTTTCAATCTTGTAGCCCCTAAAATTTCCAATGAAGGTGCAAGCTCCTATGGAATTGAATCCTACAAGTGAGAAATTTCCTTTTCTCACTTACCTTCTGTTGAATCTTCAGGAACAGGTCACAAAACCCCAGGAGCCTTGTGGACCACAGGTTAAAATCCACTGTCCTGCCAGAAAGAAATTAAACCTTCTGATTGCTGAGAAATCAGTAATACATCGTAACTCATCCCACTCTGAAAATTTCTCCCCACCACCCATCCATATATGATCCACATTAGGCTGTGGAAGAACACTTGTCACATAAGTGACCATTTGTTTGTTCTGTGCATGATTACAGGACCGTCCTCTACAAGGAAAAAAAAGAAAAATTATCTTGAACCTTGAATGCCTAGTTATTATTTGCTTTGGTATTGAAGAAAATACTGAAAACAACCCTGAAAAAGTGTATCGCATCAGCTTTTGTTCAGAAACCATCTGCTGGTACAGTGAAACCACAATCTATTTGCATAACATATCTTCACCATTTTCCTCAAAGGGAACCTCTATGTCTCAAAATAAAGCTATTCCATCTCCTTTGTCTTGTCCCTCCTATTGCCTATACCCTTCTAGCCTTGCTCCAAGTACAGCCTGCTTTGGCAAACAACACGTACTGACTGTCCAGATGGCATCCAACTTTCTTTGCTGGGAAAAAGTTACTAATATATGAAGTATGGGGGCAGAGTTGCAAAGAGGAATGGGCAAGAGCAACACGTAGCCTGGTCAGACCTTACTTAGTGAAAAATTGAAAAAGACAGTATTTCTGCTGCACCTGAGACACCATTAGCTTTACACAGTAAACTGAGGTAGCTAGACTGACCCTCTTCCTACAGTCTGGCTGGATTTTTACATGTATGTGCATATAGACACACATATATACAATACATGCGTAACCATTCATTTATATGTACTTTCAGACTATGAGAAGAACTGTTTGTATTAGAGTTCTAGCTAATTTTTAGCTCCTGCTACCCTGTGACTTACAAAAGCCCTTTTGAAGTCTGAATAGTTGTTATCTACGAGCAAAAAGTAGGGAAATTCTCTTGTCCAACCAAATCTCTCTTTTATGCAAAAGGAGCATAGGCAAATTTCAGAACTGCTGGCTTATCTCCCTTTCATCTATAAGCTTTACAAATACTGAAGGTCCTTTGGAAGGACTTTGGAGCTTGGCAGTCAGGCTCTAAACCAAGAGACAGTGTATAAATACCAGAGAGAAAAGGCTTAGACTCTTATGCAATAAAAATCATTACTGACTACAAGATAGCTGCTTAACTTCTTTTTGACAGTAAATTACTTGGAGTTTAACAGTAATAGTATGTGACATAATGTCACTTCAATAGGTTAATATCATAGATAACTGATAAAATTATTTTAGAATATCTGGTCAGCAAGTAAAAGGATCAGAAGGTATTTCAGTCCCTTGTATGGCAAATGTTCAGCACTGGACAGCTACTAAGAAATGGGCACGCTCATTGGTAACATCCCTTACTGCTTTATAATTTAATTCTCTCAGGAAAAGATCATTCCCCTAGAAGTGGCTTATCACATTCAAATACATTGTTTCATGAATGGAAGCCATTTTCTGTCCTCTCAATAGTTTAGATGCTGGCACTTTACCTCAGATGGGATCAGAGCAGAAGTCCATTCTTTGTAACACCCTTTGACACCAGCCAATATCAGATATTTCTGCAGAAAGCAAAAAGGCTGCAAAGAGATGCAGAGATGAGGACAGTCTGCTCCTTCAGGCTTCACCCTTATCTCTGAATTGGCTCAAATTCTGAGCATGGAATATGATTCGGTCTAAATGTAACTTCAATTCAGCTTCATTAAGTTGTCTCTCTGTTCTTGTACTACAAGACAGAACAAGAGCTCTACTTTCCTACTTGCTTTATTACTCAGTTTTACAAACACTCGGTATTTGTCTTTTCTCTCCTAAGGAACTGAAGTCTTGGTCCTCCCAGTGCCATCACAGGAGAAACTGTATCCTACTGATTTTATTGCCCTTCTTCAAACTCCCCTGCGTTAGAGGAATTCTTTTTCAGACATTGAACTGTACAGAACACTTTATTTCAGGTGAAGTCCAGTGACTGATAGAATAATTTGCTCATACTATGCTCTAGCATCCATTTTTTACCACAGCTG